TAAGTATATAATTCCTAAAAACAAAAATTCATAGAGAAAATAGTAAATATAGTCAATGAGTAAAAAGTATTGAGCTAAGTCATTGTTGCTTTGTGCTTTGCTTTAAAGTGCAGATGTAAAATATTTTTTAAAAATTCAAACTGTGTGTATGTGTGTGTGTATATGTGCATGTGTGTGTATGTATGTATGTGTGTGTGCATGTGTGTATATGTGTGTATGTGTGTATGTATGTGTATGTGTATATGTGTGTATGTGTGTATGTGTGTGTGTCTATGTGTGTATGTATGTGTATGTGTGTGTGTATGTGTATGTGTGTGTTTATGTGTATATGTGTGTATGGCTATGTGTTGTGTGTGTGTGTTTGTACGTGTGTGTGTGTGTGTGTGTGTGTGTGTGTGTATGCACTTGCACATGAGCACCTGATGGCCTGTAGAATAGGACTATATACATGCCAACAGCAAAATGTTATCTCACTGGGCTATCCTTTACACACTCACATTTTAAAATTTTACATTGAATAAATCCACACTATATTGCCTAGGCTAACTTAGAACTCACAGTTCTCATAACTCACAAATAATGACAATTACTGCCATGTACATCATACTAAATAAATTCAGTTTTTTTTGTTTTTGGTTTTTTTTTTTGTTGTTGTTGTTGTTTTGTTTTTGTGAACACTTTGAAGGTCTCCTAAATTGTTTTCTTACATTATTTTTCCTTCTAGGAATTGGCACTTGTCTTTTTCCCATAAGTTCATTCATTTTAAGATTTATTAGTACCATTCCTAAAACTATCCATCTTCCACGCTTCTGGGAAAATGAAATGACTAAGATTTTCATTATATATTAATTTTAGGTGATGGCATCCACCATATTGACTTTGAATGGCAAACTGTTGTGTTGTGATAAAATTGGTATTGATCAACAACCACTGCTACAGTTACAAGGTTCCTAAGTAGTGTTCTGTTCAGTCCAAGTTATTCTGTAGAGGTATGCCATGAGCTAGTAATGATCTGGTAAGATAGACTAATGCCCAACAAGGAGCTCTTGAAGCCAGAGCCTCCTCATTTCACATGCATACACTAAAACTATGCAGGCTTCATCTGAAAAAAGGGTTTAGGGATCTGAAAATCTACTAAAGTAAAAATGTAAGTCTTTAGTAATCAAATATATTTTTGCCTATTTTATTTACATTGTTTTCTCTCTGCTTATTTTTATTCATGCTTGGGAATAATTCTAACTCCACTTACTTAAATAAACTTAAATTCAACACTGTCATCTTAGCATTGCAAATGTTTTCTAAGTGTTCTCCAAATTTGCATTTTCTAAGAGATATTCAGTCTTCATCACATACATATATGTATATAGTTCCGTGACATAATAGTTAAGGGCTTGCTATCAAGCTCAGCACAAAAGAAGATGCTAAAAACACCATGACCACAAAAATTCTTATAAAGTAAAACATTAAACTAAAATTGGCTTACACTTTGAAAGGTTTAGTCCATTATCATCAGAGCAAGAAGCATGGCAGCATTAGGGCAGACCTTGTTCTGGAGTAGGAGCTGGGAGTTCTCCATCTTAATCCACAGGCAGCAGAAAGAGACCGAGTACCACTCTGGGCATAGCGTGAACACGTAAGGCGTTAAAGCCCACCCCCACAGTGACACACTTCCTCTAACAAGGCCACACCTCCCAATAGCACCACTGTCTTGGGCCAAGCTTTAAACACATGAGTTTATGGGGGGGGCATACCTATTCAAACCAGAACTTTCCACTCCCTGGCCACCGTAGGATTACAGACATGACATAATGCAAAATGCATTTAGTTCAACTTTAAAAAATCTTCATAATCTATCATAGTCTAAACAATGTTTAAAAGTTCGAATTTCAAAATCTCTTCTGAGATTCACGCAATCTCTTAATTGTAATCCCCTATAAAATCAAAATAAAAAAAAACAAATCATATGCTTCCAACTTATAGTGGCATAAGATAAACATTACTGTTCCATAATGGAAGAATGGAAGTATAGTAAAGAAATGTTGGACCAAAGCAAGACTGAAAGCAGCTGGGTAAACTCCAAACTCTGCATCTCCATTTCTGATGTCAAATCGTTCTTCGGATCTCCAACTCCTTTCTGCTGTGTTGACTGCAGCACACTTTTTTTCTCTAGGGCTGGTTCCACTTCCTGTTAGCAGCTGTCCTCAGGAAGTAGCCCATGATTCTGAAATCTCCAAAATTTTGGGGTCTCCAAGGTAATCCAGGCTTCACCTTCACAGCTTCATGCAACGGCCTTTCTGTGCCTCCATGCAGGGATACTCCTGAATTATGCCAGGCATCAGTGGATTTCCTTAGTCATGGAGGGAGATTCCATAACCACTTTCTTGTATCCTTGATTCTAAAGCCAGAACCATGTGACTGAAGCCGCCAGGATCTGGCGCTTGCTGGAGCTGGTGTTTACCGGGGCTCCTGATTGCTGAGTTGAATGGCTTCTTCATTGGATTACATCTTCACCAGTTTTCTGTTTTTTAGTGCTTACGGCTGGCTGCCCTGGAACTAGCTCTGTAGACCAGTGTGACCTCAGACTCAGAGACCTGCCTGCCTCTGCCCTCTAAGTACCGGGATTAAAGGTGTGCACCACCACATAGGGCTCTAAACTTTCTTTTAATTCCTTTTCACAAGTTGGAAACTCAGCTGGGTGGGATCTTGCCCTGGGGTCACCACTTCCTTTATTCCATTTCTTAATCTGTTTATCTCCTTGAACATAGGACTGAACACCACTCCACTTCCTGGTGCCGCATTTCTCCTCAAATTGTACATTTTTTTATTTTTCCCTTCTCAGCTTGCTCCTTTTCATTATAGATCTTCAAAGTAGTGAACACACTAATCACAACACAACAGAGTCAATACTGGGCTGTTTTGAGACTTGATTACCAATGGAATTAAGTCAAAACTCTTCACATCAGCCTCAGACAGATTTTTTTCAGACAAGGATAAAAAGCAGCCACATTCTTGGCCAAAACATCACAGGAACAATCTCTAGGTTACATACTAAAATACTACTCCTCTGAAACATCTTGAGTCAGACCCATACAGTTCAAATCACCCTAGGCACCACTTTCTTCTATGTTCCCACTAGGTTGGTCCATTAATGCCCATTTAAAGGGTTCAGCTGCTTTTCTGATACAGTTACAAAGCCCATGGTCCTCAAAAAAAAAAAAAAAAAAAAAAAAAAAAAAAAAGTGAGGCCTACATCAGCAATACCCCAGTCCTTGGTACTAACTTCTGTCTTAGTTTGGATTTCTATTACTGTGAATAGACACCATGACCATGGCAACTTTAATAAGGAAAACATTTAATTGGGTAGCTTAGAGTTCACAGGTTTAGTCTATTATCATCATGGCAGGATACGATGGAATATAGGCGGACACACTGCTGGAGAAGGAGCTGAGGGTTCTACATCTTGATCCACAGGCAGAAGAAAAGAGTGTGTACCACACCGGGCATAGCTTGAGTATATAAGACCTTAAAGCCTGCCTCCACAGTGACACTCGTCCTGCAACAAGGCCACATCTCCTAATAGTGCCACTCCCTATGGGCCAAGCATTCAAACAAATAAGTCTGTGGGGGCCACTTAAGTGATTAATGTTTTGCCACAACTCACAGTATAATTATTAATATTTGTAGTGATCGCATAACTTCTGGAATAATTGTAGGAAAGCTTTGAGATGTTTATTTCCTGTCCTTCTTTGTAGTGCTGGAAGTCAAACCTTGTGAATGCTAGGCAAGTAGTCTATCACTGAGTTACATCTGTAAATCATAAATATTTATAAAAAAATAGTTCCCTGCTTAAAAAAATAAAGTAAAATCACATCAGGTCTATTGACAGTGCTACTCTAAGAGAAGAGAAACTGATTCAGGCCAGACCGTGAAAAGAAGAGTCCATCAGTGAACGGCTAATAAAGCAACAGATTCCCATTGTGGCTTCCTTCCTTTACTTGTACATTTCTTTGCAGATGGATGTAAATTGCTACTTGTCCTTGACAAGGACTGGCAGGTCCAAAATAAACCTAGACTGTTGTTTCAAGAATGTGGTTCCTAATATTTTCTATTACTTCAGTGAAAAAGAAAGAGAAAGAATTTTGTAGGGTATGAAGGTCTCTGTATTTTTATTGGCTACTTACAAATTTTGAAAAAAAAATCCCTAATCCTTTTAAAATGGTTTTACCAATTCTTATATTTAGCATAATTTACCAACATTTCCAAACCCAGCATGGAAAAGCCATCAACATGGCACTAGGTCATGGGTCCTGAATGAAGCCGTCAGCAAGAATTAATAAACTGTGACAGCTGCCCAAAAACTTTCATTCTTTTTATTTAAACATCCCACTGAAAGCTGAAATTCAGTGTGATCTTTGTTGAAAGTAGCCCAGCTCACAAGGAAGAAAGCAAAACAGAGAAGAGATGACAAGTGTTAATTATAAATCCAGTCAATAGAATAAATTCTAGAATTTACGTATGTAACAATTCCAGAGAATTTTAGTAGCGGAATATACTATGTTTTCTATATCTGTTTGAACAATTCTATTTGTTCCTGCGGCAGTGAAGATTGAGCTCAGACCCTCCTACATTTTAGGAAATGCTCTAGCATTTCAGCCATATCCCAAACCTACATGACAAACCCTTTAGAGATTTTTTTAAAATTAGACTAATGAAAACTAAGATTATCAAACCATAATTTACATGTTCAATAAATTGCTTCTTTTTATTTTATTATTATTCTTTTGTGTGAAACTGACAGAGAAGTCAGGCTCTTTTCATTTCGTAAGTAGAGCACATTTGTAGCTATTAAGAAAGGACAATTAACACTTGGTTAAAAACATATTATTCCAAAGTACATCTTAATATAGTACATTTTAAATGAATAAATATTTCCAGTGTGTGAACATCAGCACAAGAAATTGATCGGTTTAGTGTCAAACAGCTAAATCACTTGCGCTTACCCCCTTTTCAATGTTCCCAGTCTGACATAGTGTCCCCTCAGCAGCTGGGATACTGTTGGTGACACAGCGGTTGCTTTTGCTAAGGCACCAAAGCTCTCTACACACTTCCTAGGAAAGAAGGCAAAAGCAAGTTGATCAGGAATAGAGGTTAAAAGCAAATGCATTTCTTGCAGAGAGTGTGCTCACAGCCATTCAGCACCACTCACTGCTATCGAAGATACTGTTGAAAGAGGACTTAGGAATGTCCTTCAGTGGGTAGGTCACTCGTTTAGCAAGATCATTTAAATTTTGGCCTAATTTAGATAGATAAAGTATGTCTTATTATTTATTACTGATGGAGATCTTTTCATAACAGCGTACAGATATTTCATTAATATGGAAAAATAATGAAAAAGTCCATAGGAATAAACATTTGTTTTTGCATGACAAACTTAACAAATGCAAACAGAGCATCATCAAGTGAATGATTCCTTGGGCAACAATCAAATAAAAATAATTTTTTAAAACTGGTAGTACCCTGGGGGAGGGGAGAGACTGAGACAGAAACAGGCACTGTCAAATAGGAATTTAACATGTAAATTTAAAGAAATACGAGGTACATTTTGGAGCAATTTCTAAATTTTGTATGTCTAAGTATTATCTAGAAATGTTATTTTCAGTTATCAAATACTTTGGTACAATGAGGATAAACTTTCATAAGATACTTCTATTTATGATATTTTCACCTCCTTCCTTATTATTATCTGACTCAGAACAGAATTATAAGACTTTCTGAATACCAGCAATACAAATTACTAGGTTATGTTATCAGATTGTCATCTGGCTATGTCTAAAGTGAAGTACGAATTCTCTAGACACAAAAGAACCCATGTGACATAGACACAACTGACTGAGAAGGAAAGCAGGAAAATATGGAAACTAAAGATTCTACAAATGGAAATTTCCACATGACACTATAGCACATTGCTGGGGCTCTCTTTGAATTCCTATTAGGGTGTCCTCTATCGGTCAGGAAGAAATATACAATGTGCATTGGGCTCTGAAACAATTAGAATCGGGGGCTAGAGAGATGGTTCAGCTGTTAATAGCACAAGTCGCTCTTGGAGATCTGAGGTCAGTTCCCAGCATTCACAAGGCTGCTCAGAACTATCTATCACTGCAGTTCTGAGGAGCCCAATGCCTTCTGGCCTTCATAGGTACCAGGAATGCACATGATGCACAGACATACATACAGGCAAAACACTTATACACACAAAATAAAAAACTAAATTTAAAAAGTTAATTATACTTAAAAGTTTTTGACTTTATCTAGACACTGGTGAGCTAAAAAGAAAACATTAGAAGGACATTCTGGGAATCACAGTATCAACCTAAATGCTCCTTTTATAATGGAACTCAATTAAAAATACTCCTTCTTACAATGTATTTTCAGTGCATTCTTTTAGTTTAATATTTTAGAAGCACCAGGACTGCTAATATTTAAAAGTTAGAATACTGACCTACTTGTTAGAAGTTTATCCAAATTCAAACGAGTTCAAAAAGAAAAAAACACACATTTAATAGAAGAGTTTAAAATGTGAAAAAAAAATAATGTATACATTATCTCTGGACAAAATTCTTGATATTTTCCTTTTTTTGTTGGGTCTAAATCTTACTTTGGACAAAGGCAAAAGAAGCCTAAAATGTACTTTATACATGACTATACAAGAGGATTCTATTATTGAATACAATATTCAGAGCATCCATTAGGAAAACATACATTTAGTTGTGTTATAGAAACATTAGTCTCTGAAAGCCCCTGTGAAAACTTCTGCCCAAAGTGGCAAGTGCTTAAGGTACTTTTCTTAATTGTGATGTCAAGATTGACAATACCACTTCCTTCAACGTTTGAAAGACAGATTTCTGTATCTAGCAGGAGTGTGTTGCCTTAGTGACTTATCACACATTGCTACATGCAGCTAGGGGCTGTAGACCCACACTGGAAAATACACCTGAGCTGTTAAAGTAGTTGTAGCGAATACAGTAACCTTCCCAGCAGAATTCACAGTTGGCATTTCATCTTGAGTAAGGAAGAACTTTGATACTGACAAAGACAAAATACTAGAAAAGCTCATTTCACACCAAGTAGGAAGTTGTAGAATATGGGCAAAGTGTTTAGATGCACATGGATATTAATTGCCAAAGAGAGACTATCATGAAGGTTTGAAGCTATAATGGAGTTAGTTGCAGGCTGAAAGTTTTTTTTTTTTATCTCTTGAGAAATTTCTATATAGCAAAGATCATACTTGTCAAATTACTTTCCTAAGGGAAATATATAAGGTGATAGGTACAGTTAGTGGAAGGGAAAAATGTTGATCCCTCCCCCAGCTCAGCTTGCATTCGTTCATTCCCAACAAAATTCAAGTTTATTACAATTAGTTTTATGACTTCTCTCAGCAAATAAATCATTGCATCTGTGCCAGGGTTTCCTCTAGCATCTTAAATTTCACTTTGAGAAGACTCTGAAATATGGTGCTCAGCTGGCCCTCAAGTTTAAGGAAGGAGAAAGGAATTATCAACAGCTCCTCTAAAAAGAATATTTCTGTTAAATGACAGTGCATGAGATTGAGTCTTTAATTTCATGGGGCCAATGAAAATCAGGAAGAAAGATTGAAAAGGTGATAGCAATATTTCCTTTCCATATGCAAATATTTCTGAGACTCTACCACACATCAGATATGTTAGCATAATGAATAAATACTACCACATAGAATTATAGGGACCAGAGAAAGGAATGCTTTAAATTTCTCTGATAAAACTAGAAGAGCAATTCCAATATAGTGTTTTGTTTTGTTTTGTTTTTCATTATCCTCTCTTTCCTACATGTATATCTGTGTGCTACTTGCATGCTTGGGGCCCACAGAGACCAGAAAAGGGCACCAGATCCCCAGAAACTAGAGTTACAGACAGTTGTGAGCCCCCGTGAAGCTGGGGATGAAACCTGGGTCTTCTGCCAGGCAGCCAGATACCTTACCCACTGAGCCATCTCTGCAGCCCTGACACCATTCTTGTTTTTATTATTATTATTTTACATCACTTAAGTTTTATTCTTCTTCCTTAGCTGTTGTTACCAGAGACTATAAGGCAGAAGGCAGAATCTGTGTGTTAAAGTATGATTTACAAAAATTAAAAGTTGGCAATCCTATATTATTCTAAAGCTTGGAAAAAATTTTGTCTACAAAAACCTAAAAGTTAGTCCAACACCCACTGTCCATGTCTGTGATTAACATTGACTGAATCCAATTCCTTCCTTCCTTTCTTTCTTTCTTTCTTCCTTTTTTTTTTTTACAAAGATCCTTTAGTAATTAACTTAGCAAAGAATTTTTTTCCTGAACACAGATTTAATTTATCCTCATTTAAAATATATTTTGATTGAATATATAGTTCTAAGCTGACATTAATCTTACCTGAGCATTTAAAGATATTATAATAATTTTTTTGGCCAATGCTATATTTTGAAAATCAATTTAATTGCTTTCAAGAGTTTGAAGATTTATGTTGGTGCTGTTTCTCTGCTGTATCTGTTGTTTATTTTGTTTTCATGTTCATGCTCTGAGAATTAGTACTTTTCTTTGACTATGGAGCCTTTGACATACCCCTACCATATCCCCCCTCCCACCCAATGCCTGTCCAGCATAAATTTGGATCTTCTCTTTTTAATCCCATATTTTTTACTTCTCTGTCAAAGTTTTCATAACTGTTTTTTTCTCTTGAAATGATGACTGTTGGCTTCATGTTGGGTTGTTTATGCTGTTTATAACTCATATAGTCTATCTTCAGTGATTTTATTTTTTATCTTTGATCACACTATAGCTTCTGAGTTACAGAAGTACAGTCAAAGGCAATTGTTTCTGTCACACATTCTAAGGTTTTCGCTGAAACAGATTTCAAGCCAATTTATCTGCTCAGTATCAGATTATTAAAGTAGTTGAGGAAAAAAAAGTTTTGTTTTGTTCTCTTGTGAGGTACAAGCTGGGGCTCCAATTTCTTAAGGAAGTTATTTTTCACCTAATGAAATCCCTGCTGCCATTTCATCAGCATTCCAGGCAGCTAGACAATTGCAGTCTGAATCATTGTTCTTCTTCCTTCTTAGAAAGTCTGTAAAAGCATTTGCATGTGCTGGACATCACTTTAATAAAAACTGAAACTTGAGCCATTTATCAATCTGTTTTTTTTTTAACTTAATGTAAGGCAAATAGTAATCTGGTTACTGCCCATCCCATAGCCTTCTTTCAGTGAACTCAACAAAATTATCTTAAAAATTAATATGAAAGGCTTTCTTTTCATAGTTTCTTCACCTGGCCTCATGACTTCAATAGAATCTGAGTTAATGAAATGAAGCTACCAACTCATTTACTAATACCAATAAAGAAAGCTCTTTCTATAGGATTTTTAAGTTCATTTTTTATGTCTTTATATGTTGCACGATGCTTCTCTAATTATGAGAAAGCCTGCTGGATACCTTGAAGTCCTAATGAGAGATAATGTATGATTTCCCAGTTTGAGGGAAACTTTAAGCTTTATGCTATGTTGGGACCTTGGTACTAACTGTACAACAGTGTCAGTGTCATCATTTTTCTGTCAGTAGCATTTTTAACATGTGTTTGCAATAAGCTAGTCAATGAGGAGAGTAAAGTCCTAAAAAGGTCAGGAAGGAAAACAGAAAACCTACATATGCTAGCCCTGTGCAGTAACTTAGGTCTGTGGAGCTAAACTAAACAGGATAATGCACCCACACTTAGTCCTTAAAGCCCATTCAGAAGGTGATTAAATGAATGAGATCCTAGAAAGGGAACAACAATAGCACATGACTGAGAAAAGTTAGTTAAATAATCAACAATTTGAAGGCTTAAAAAAAAGATAACTAAATGGTTCTAAAAATGAAAGGAAACCTAGAAAATGCACAATTAGTGTCGACTCTGAAACTAGGGTTTGGCTTGGAATTTGAGGGAAATAAATAGCCAAGCAAACTTTTAACACTTTTATGTCAAGTAAATAAATATGTTTGAATTATAGAGACTAATGAGGCACTAAAATATTTCAGAGTCCTTTACTCTATAAGTCTGTAT